TGCACCAGATTGTCTAATTCACTAAATGCCGATGCTGACAGATGTAATGGTTTAGTTTATTAAGATGTCTTCATGTAAGTCATTGATTGCGTGTTTATATCTTTTTGGTACAACCTGTATTTTCAATATATATATGTATATAATCTGTCCACATGTGGAGTGTAGTGATATACATAACGTTTCAGGAGTTGGCATTTCTCCCAGTCTGCTGTCAGCATGCTGACAGACTTCCTGTTATTTTTTATTTTAGGATTAGTGGCGAGTAGTTGTGATTCATGAATATAGGCTAGTTCACTAACTACTGTACTACAAGGGCCTCCAATAATGCTTGTTTTAGTTTGTGTTTGTACTGACCGAGTATTCAGGAGGTCCTGGGTTAAATCCTAACAATCGCCACTGATATTAGTCTTGACATAAAAATAACAAGCTAGTGGTCTGCAATGGTGAATTTGCTTAACACCTAATGTTCGTATCTCAATGAATCAGCCATTGTCATAAATGTTAATACAAGTCTGCAAGACGTTGCTACCTGGAAGGCCAGCATCGACATCTTCACCGCCCTCAAATTCTGAGAGAGGAATTTCTTAATGTCACTAATACGAGCGACAGGGCATCTTAGATTAGGAACAATACTTAAGAAAGACCTTCACAGGACATTAGCTCTGAGCCGGATTCAAACCCGCGATTCGAGTGTGTAACGTGTACTAGGTGGTGGAATCAGTGTATCGAGTGCTGGAACGGGGGAGGAAGGACAATGCCATTTGCGCGACGTGTGTATAGAGGACGTTCTGCGCAGGCGCGTCCGTGTTTTGCTGTGAGATGTTCTGTTTCACAAGGCTTCTCGCTTGAATCGGAGCTAGTCATTTACGCTACTGTTCGTTTATTTGTTTCTTTGCTACCACACACGTAACGTCGATATGTAATATCTCCCAACACACGGCCTGGTCCTAGATCTATGATCTATAAAACTAACTGCGAAATTAAAATTAGACCCATTTACAGAGTTCTCTTGTTTTTGTGCTGACGGATTGTGGGTATACAAGAACTAAGTGCTAGGAGAATCTCTGGACCCAGTGAGGTGAAATAACAGTGGAATGGAGAAAATTACACAGCGAAGATCTTCAGTTTCACCAGATATTATACCGTCTCTTACGGTGAGTACATATAAGAACATTAAGATGGATACAGCTTGTAGCATGCATATGAAGATAGGGATCTACATTTAAGTTCGTAATTTTGACAGAGGAACCTAATCTAAAGAGGTAACTTTGAGAGACGTATGATGGAGGATAATATTAAAATGTTTCTAACGATGATGTGAACTAAATGTGGTTAATGATAGTTTTGTGTAGCACGTCAGTTACAAAGTTATATTATACGGTGTATCTGCAAGAGAGGTTAGGTAACGTCAAATGATCAGTGGCAGCGCGGTCATGTATGGATACATAGGAGTGTAAAAGTTGCCGTGGCCTACTTCAATATAGGTCTGGAGGAGTTACGAGAGACTTTTCAGAATTACGGGTTTCGTAGCGATTATCCTAGCTTTGCATTTGAGCGTCCACTGCAGTCGACGTTTCGGTTTGGCTGTTTGGATTGTATTTGATTTTAGAAACTGTCTCTCCCGTTAGGTGATTTTGTTCCGTTAGTGTAATGGTTCAGTAGTTCCTAGAATGGAAGGAAGCTGTTGGTATCTGTCGCCGTTTGGAGTTCTTTCGAGGCCTGTTTTCCTGCCTACAGGATGGCAGTTTGGAGTCGTCAGCTTTTTAGCTGTCTCATATCAAATTCCAATGTTTACCCCCTCTTCTGTTATAGTGCAAAATGCTGTCAGACTCAGAGTAAGGCGGAATATCAAATTTGTAATTGTGTGACATCTTATAGATTGCAGTGAATCGATGATGTCAATAAGCTAGGAAGGGAGCCAGATGGCGTATTTCCAAATTTAGGTGCGTCTCGCAACGAGAGTTCAAGCCGTTAACGAGACGAGCGTTATGTAACATCTTCCCTGATGCAGTCTTTAATATTTTGTTGTGTAATCATCTGATTCGGACAGCAAAAACCGTACGTTGTTAACTTTGCCAAGTTTGTTCTACGTTGGGCACATTTCCCGTCTTCTGTGTCTGTCGACTTCCGCACGTCGAGATTGTGTGAGGTAAGGCTACCTGAATTACTACGTTTTGATTCAACTTTTGTGTGGAAGCCTGCGGAACATTTCTAATGGATCTTTTACATCAACTTCGGAACTTGTTGTGTTTCTATAAATATTCGCCAATTAAAAGTTAATAGAAGATAGAAAATGCTTAATTTTGTCACATTTTTCGTCGAATAAACTTGTTTTGTGGAATAATATGAAATTGTTTTGGGGTTAAAGAACACCTTTTTGGGCCGCCGAGGTTAATTTCGGTTTCAAGTGGACGTATTCGTTATGAATTGAGTTTTTAGAAGGGCGTGTGAGATTATTTATATCTGGCGCCCATGTGTTCGTGACCAGCATACGAAATTAACAAGTATTTCTGAAAACTTATAATGCCATTTTTCGTTACATGTTTTTTAGTCTAAGCATAGAGGCAAACTGAACTTGTATATAACGCTTTTTCGTGATAGGCTATATTGTTGTGTAAAACTTATATTAGAATGGAAAGTTAAGATGCCATTCTTGCAGGTAATGTTGAACACAAGACATGCTTTAATACGAAAAACATGATATTCAGGTCTACGTTGAATGCTTCATTGATTGTAGTAACGTCATGATTTAATGACCCTTCGGCCCCGCGTGTGTGACGTAGCATGTCCAAGTTTGGGCGGGAAAACGTAGCCCATCATATTTGCATAGGTAAACGTAGCCTTCGTGTGTTTAGTCGTGTACCTCCGGGAAAATTAATTATCGGTTAAGTGGTTCTGAAGCGACATTCAACGCAAGCGACTCCATAAGCTCTTTTTGAAGTTCCATTGTATATTTCATTAGAGTGTTTCTGTGCAATTTATAATCGTCGTTGAAAAGCACGAGGTCGTTATTATGACTTGAAAGACTTCGCCGATATTCTCTCTCTGTCTTTCGTGGTTTAGTTTAACATCGATCCTGTGTTGTTAACACTGCCCATGTATAACATGGGGCTACGAAGCTTTCCACTCTAATATGAGCTCATGCGAACAGCGGATTGTTACTGAAGCATTTTAATGTTCCGCGTGAACACAGAAGTATGGATTAGTTTGGCGCTCCAGTTTGATAAATGAATTTTTAATCTCATCCTCAGTGCTTTTTGACAGGGACGATTGATGTATTTTTAAGATTACCAACTTTTGCCAAAACCATCTGTGACGATGTGTGATGTCAGGTAGACCACAACCGTGTGTTCACAGAACGTCACCGTTTGTCTCCAGACGTGTTCGATGTCGCTGGGGGTCCGATAATTATTTTCCTCATTCGACGGTGTATGTTTTTTTTGTCGAATTAGATGCACCGTTATTAAACGTGTTTTTATAGCCATGGTGTAATGTTAAAATAATTGTATATGGGAGACGAAATTGTAGGAAATGGTAGAGGCAGGACACCTAATTTGGGTAGGTGTAATATTTTCATGAAGGGTGTGACTAATTCGGGACAGAAGAAGGACAACATATTTCATTTTTAAAAATTTAAGGCATCTGTGTAGCCATCACAAGTAGCAGCATTATTTCTCTGGTTACATTTTAACAGATAATTAGACTTCTAAAGAAATTAGATTTTGTATGCGTGTTTATTAATTCTGTCGTTATGATCATGAGTAACAGTTTCATATCGGACAATAATTTGAATCGCCACGAATTATGAAAAATAAATGTTAAAGTTCGGAAACTGCCCAGTTAAATTCTGATTTTTGTACCTTTTTTTTTGATACGGTCAGTGTATCTCATTGAATGAAGCTTATAGTATCGTCCATGTATCGAATGGCGTGGACCAGCCGATGCAGATGGAAACGGGGAATGGGGGTTATTCTACAGAATATCTCAAACATATGTACACATATTCGATAAATGTAATGAAGACATCCTAATAAACTAAACCATTACATCTGTCAGCATCGGCATTTAGTGAATTAGACAATCTGGTGCAGGTGTTCAAAATGGCCGCCGCCAGCTTCGTGACACAGCTGACAGCGACCACGAAATCTTCTGCTGTGGCGACTGCGCAAGACCGTTCCGTTTCTTGCCAGAGCTCTTGAAGTGTTCCTGGCTTTGCGCTGTACACAGCGTCCTTCAAGTTCCACCACGAGAAAAGGCAGGTGGGGGTTAAATCTGGCGATCGTGGGGGTACTGAACAGATCCTCTGCGTCCTAGCCATGGGTCAGGATAGGTCCTGACGTCACGATGGTAATGTGTTTTGTTGATACCTGCCCCCTTCGCTATACAGATGACGAAGGGCGGGAACAATGGATTCTTGAATGTGTATACGTCTTTTTAGGACATTATGTATGATGACCGCATGAGGAATGACTGGTTTCGACGTATCATTTGCCTCAAGTCTCAGAAATTGTAACATTTTATGTGATTCTGATGAAATACAAACAGTTGATGAGAATAATTGAGTTTGTAAATAATGCATCCTCTTGTGGGTTTTTAATTAGGGGAACACGGTGGTTTCCACCTTCTGCTATTTTTAAATTTGTATGATTTTTAATTATGCTGCCAGTTACTGCACGCGTTAGGCAGTGAAACAAATTAACATTTGCTATTGCTTTATTACCGCCACGGTGGTCTAGCGGTTAGAACGCTGGCCTTGTAATCCTAGGGTCCCGGGTTCGATTCCCGGCGGTGCCCGAATTTATAACTTGTGTTGGGCAAGGCCGTGGTCTAGGCAACACGGAGTTTTCCTCCGTGGCATCCCAACAATTACTCCATTCACACACAGAAGAAGGCAATGGCAAACCACTTCTGGATCATCTGCCAAGAACGTATATGAACAGGTCCCAGTCCGAGAAAAGGATGGAAGGATCCTGTTCATATGGACCTGTCGTCAGACAGAACACTAAATAAATAAATAAATTGCTTTATTCTTTGACTTCTATAAATATCGCCAATTTGGTGCTCGTGTAAGAGTTTGTGTATCTGAAATAGTAATTCCTTGTGTGTTCAATCGCCGATTGACTCTGTAGTCTTTTAATTGATTAATTCTCCGGTCTCAGTGCTACTACTTTTTAAACTGTGAATTTAAAATTAATTCGTCTTTTTTTCGAACGGTCTATTTATTAACATCTTCGGCTGATTTTGGGCCTTTGTATGTGTATTTAGCGCGGGCATTAATTAAACGAAGATAAATTGAAATTGAAAAACTTCAAATATTTGTCTTTTTCGTAAGCCAAAGGATACATTTTAGCGAATAAATATTTGTATTAGGAATTATGTAACATATGTTAGAAAATTGTGGTACAGTCAGTTTTTCAAACTCATTCTTCGAAACTTTCATACTTTATTGGCCGACTTATTTTTCATTGCATTTTCTTAAACAGAACTATTGACCATGTCGAAGAACTTTTCACAAAAACGTTGTATACCTTCAGTTTAGTATGTTTTGTGCTGTTTGTGTAGAAAAATCTGTAATTTTTAATTTGTGCTTCATGTGATTTGTTGTTGTATGCATAGTTCACGATAATTTTTATTCTACAATGCATTTACTTACAAAGTTAAACGCGACTGTATCTTCCCTGCTCCCGACAGGAACTACTGTTATTTGGGTTACTTGATTTTATTGTTTTTGTGGAAATTTGCTTGATACGTATTGGGAGCACCATTGGCGGTGTGTCATGGAGTTTTAGCCGGTCTCGGGAATTGACATTTGCGTACAACTTTGTCACTGAACACTCTCTTTCATAATTGATTTTGCACTGAACGTACTGTGCTGTATTTTAAATTGAATATACTCGACAAATTACGTGTAGACAGACAGACAGACAGACATCCCTCCACCCTGTTCGGCGCGCTCCACCAATACGAAACACCGAAACAGCAACCGATCTCAGTTGAGAGATGAAACATTCGTACGGACGAGTGGATATTATCTGACCACTGCGTGTTTGTTTAATGCAGTCTGTGTCAATATCATACTGATTTCGAAAAAATGATTGATGCAAGTTATATGTATTAAATTAACATTTTATGGCTTGCGCTTTTCATATGTGGAGTGTGTGTTTATGATTAGTAACTATTTTTACGTTCGTGAAATTATCTATCATACCAGATTGGGAAAATATATATATATATATCTCGCGTTGCACAGAATTAGGTTAAAATATATTTTTGTGCCATTGAGCGTTGATCTTTTAATCGTGTTCTCAAATGATACATTCTTCGTGGTTTGCAACAATTCCATGATGACCCACTGTAGATCGTAATATACTAATTTAAACCCACGAAATTTAGCGGGAACCATATGTACCACCTGTTTTAACAGTCAGTAGCTGTGAATTTTGTACCGGTCAGTATAATCTGGGATTATTTACTCAAAACAGCATTAACAGATTGGTCTTTGTAATTATGAATTGTTGTGTTTTCTTTGCGGTACGGACAGAATTATTTAATATGTAGACGAGCTTCGGCTATAAAGGTCAAGCTATTGTGGAAACGTTTAATTCTAACGTGTAATATTGTAGAATGCTGTAACCATAGAAATGCAGACGCGGATTGAACGTGGTGAAGCAGTCAGTTATCTCGTGAACACGTCACCGTCTGCTGGAAGAATGAGTCGTCGGATCGAGCTATTTTGAAGCTTCTTACACATTCTGTTTATAACCGCGCGAGAGTGTGTTTCGGTACCTTTTAGTGGCGTCTAGTCTACGTACTCCGGAGTTCGTGTTCTGGTATTTGGTTGTCATAGCAACTTGTACGGAAGTGAATTCTTATACGCTTAACTCCTGCGGTTAAAATCATTGTGCAACAGCTTCTGGACTGTGAAGAATCGGATATTGTTACTCAGAGTTCATCTTAGTTCGAGGTTAGTGGTCGTGTTAAGTACGTACTGGAGTGAATCAGTTTAATTTTACAAGAAATTGTCAGACATTATCCATTGTGTGAGGTATATTTGATATACTGGACGTTTCGAGAATGGCTCTACTTCACCTTAAGGTGATTGGTTGTCGTTGACAAATTGTTTACATTGTACAGTTACATCAAATTAAAATACATATTCTTTTTTAACACTTTAAATTAGATATTAGTGGAAACTGTTGGGTTAGAACCCGGGGCCTTTGAATACCACGATGATCACTAGACTACTAGAATGCTAGGAATACCCCAAAAGGTCAAGGGTTTGGGCCTTAACGCTGCCTTTAATATAAAACATAACTAATAAGAATTTGTCAGTATGATTGCTACGACGAGGGGAGTAGATGAGCTCCCGAAACGTCGTATTTTATAAATGTAAGTCAAACAGTGGGTATTGTCTAAAGTTTTTAGTGTTCTTTAACGAATAAAAAAGACACATCTTTGGAGAATGATTTTAAATCGTTTGTTTTAAATGAAGCTTCGTCATTGTAAACCGATTTTGCAGTGCAAGGCATGTACTTGTAAAGCGATGACGCTGTGCTCCGTGTTTTTTTTTTCTTTTTTGCAGAAGTTTTCATTCGTTAGACCCGGAAGTTATGAATGATCTGTCCCAGTTCTGTGACTAGTGGCGTAGAAAGATAAGCGGTTGGAGAATGTCTCATTACCGCCCTTTGTGAAGCGCTACTTGAAAATTACACAGTCTACAGTGTGTTCTGTAGAACAGTGAACGGTACTTTTGCGTCATGAATCGGCCCGAATGGAGTCCGCCGTGGTCACCTGTTCCTTGATGTTCATCTCTCCTTCCACAGTGGGATGTTACTGACATAATGCCTTTCATCTGCCAATTAACATGAGCATTTAACGTGATTTAATTTAATCAAATATCTTTTAATTTAACCTGATTTAGTCAAATATTAATGCAGAAAAATGTAAAAATACTTATTTACGTCTATGACATGTTTATTCTGTGTATATTAAAATTTTACTGTAATAGTATTTGTTAAAAAACAAGACCGTTTCTGACCTGGTCAGGTGCATGTGTACCTGACCATGTTTGGACTAATCTTCAAGAACGCACAAAAGTTGCATTATCGCTGTTTGTGGTAATATATATTTTTTTATTTTCAAACTTTTTTCTTGGCAGAAAGAATGCACTCGGTGGTTACATGTATAAACTGAGACTTCCTGATAGGATGTCTTTTAGCCATTGTAAACAACATTGTTCTCAAAATTAAGATACCTGATAATTTAATAAATTGTTTTTTCTCTCTCGTAATTTTGGTATTTGTCTTATGAATAGCACACTGTAAATAATATAATTTAGAATCTAGTATGGGCACTGGCAAGATATTAAAATGCTTCTGGAAGAGTAAAGCATACAAATCTACTTCAATGTAGGAGCTGTTTTTCTGAGTTGTTCTGCTACGCAGAAAGTATTCATTTATTCCACAGTGGGGTAAAGCACTAACCATAAAAAGAACATGTATTCAGTCCTAAGAATTTAACTGAAATAACTCACCAGCCATGACTGCTTGTAACAGATTCCACTGTATGGGAGTTTATTCGCTGAAAGGCTTTTTATAGCCATATTTATTCATGTAAATATCTGTGGTTTCGTGAAGTCTGATATTAAATTGCTGAAGAAATGCTATACCGTATTCCACGATGTTTGAGAAACAAAGTAAACAATACGACAGGAAGGGTCGGTCAGTGGAGTAGGCTGTTTCAGAAACAGAACCCACACACAGTACTTTCATTGTTTTAAAATTGTTATAGTAAGGTATGTGTCTTTGTTTTATTTCTTTTGGTGAGGTATGGGACTAAATAAAGTTGTTAACCATTATTGTAAGTCATAATCTTAGGATCTTTCTTTCGGAGGCGTAACCGTCTTCTATATTTTGAAGTATCGGGGGGGGGGGGGGGGTCTTTTTTTTATCTTGGAATGGCAAAGGCTCCCGCAGACTGGAACTGGTCTATGTTACTGACCGTTTCGCACACATTGGCTTGAATCATTCCTACTAATACGTGTTGTGTTATGCTGTATTTAAATAATGTACTCTTCATTTTTTGTGCAAGGAGTCGTGTTTACAGAGTAGTGATAAATGTACACAGATAAAATAAGTTCCAATGCCACCAAAGTGTTTTTAGAAGAGGTAGTAGGAAGGTAGGTGTATTCTTTACGTAACCTCTGAATCATCGTGGAATCGGGTATAGCAGCAAGAAATGCAGTTAACACACAGAATGGTGTAATGGTTAGCGCTTCTTGTTTCGAAAGATCCGGGCATCGGACCTCGGCCTGGAAACAGGCTGCCCTTACACACGTGCTTTTAAGTTTTCCCACTGTCATTCCGCGGCCACTCGACTGCCCCGAGCGATGAGATTACTCGAACATCCCACTCGGAGCTTCATTGTGCCTGTAACTGACAGGACCTTCGGTGGGACATTGTTCGGCTGTCCGTACTAGCAGCTGCCCGGGGTATAGAAGTGCAATGCATGTGTAGGTTGACGTTGGCTTCACATCGATTCTCACGCCACTATGACGCATGCCTGATTCAGTCCGTTGTAAAAAAAGCAGTATAGTTAAGTTGGCTAGTATAAAATAACTCTTTGCTTCCATTCTTGTATCTTTTTGTATTAAATATAGTTACGGTACACCCTCCGTTCGTGGGGGTTTTGTTCAAAACCCTCTCCCCACTAACCTTCAAATAGCGATGCTCGAAGTTCAGGTCTTATGGGAAAACATGGAAACATTAGTCTTGTTGTCTATTGCGATGACGTCGGAGTTCCTGTCTGAAAACTAGAAGGGTGACCCAATAGAAAGACAACAATTTGTTCTAAAATTGCAAGAAGTTAGCCGAAGTACACTCAGTGTTGTATGTGGTATACAGGCTGCCCGTCCACACCAGCTCTAGGGCCTCAGCGTGAAGCTGACTATTCGACTACGAAGCATATCTTGATATTGTGGAGTTTTTATAAGTACCACGGACAGCTTTATCTTTATACAAAGTCTTTCAATACGTACATATATATCAGATCATCATCTTTCGTGTGTTTGCGGACCGTGGTTTTGCTTGTTTACGGAAAAAAATAAGGTAATAATTGTGCATCTCTGCGTGAAGTCCGTAGCGGTAACTCCTGCGCAGGCGCGCGGAGTAATACACAACATCCGCGTCTGCCCGCTGATCTCAGTAGCTACGTACGAGGTGCGATCAGAAAGTTTCAAGACTGCGCCTATAAAACCCCGTACACTTATCTCAGGTATTAAATTCATCCATCACCCTCGAAGTAGTTCCCCTGGGAGTGAACACAACGATCCCAGCGCCGCTGCGATGTGTCGCATGTGGAGTTCTTCCTTTAGAATCAGCTGACCGGTCCCATAGCCTATCCCAACAATGTCGCATTAGTCGTTGATGGTACGACGTCGATCTTCGTGAATGGTCTGCCGAATCTTCGTAACATTTTCGGGCGTTGTGCTCGGAGATGGTCGTCCAGAACGCTCGTCATCATCGACAGAGGTTCGGCCATTTTTAAAACGTGAATGTCACACAAAAGTTTGTGCACGACCCATTGCGGACTCCCCAAATGCTTGCTTTAGCATTTCATAGGTTTCCGTAGCCGTTTTGGCGAGTCTTTGGCAAAATTTGATGCACACTCTTTGTTCATGAAAATCCGCCATTCCGAAATCGCAGGAGGGTCGGTGTAATGCACTACGAAAACGCCCGTAACTAAGAAACAAATGCTAATTCGATGATGCCGGCAGGCACACTGATTCACAATGAATGTAGGCCCAACCCCTTACCGGCAGAAGCTCGTACTACATCCGGTTCGCCCGCTATTGACACAGTCTGTAAACTTTCTGATCGCACCTCGTAGATGTCATGTCTCGTAAGTGTTGGCATATTACGCAGGTACCGTGTAGTTGTTTGACTGTAGCTGAAAAAACTGAATGATTTTTCGCTTTGTTAATCAGAATACCATGCGCTATCGGTGATCAGGAAGGTGGATATGGGACTCTGAGATTCGAAACCATCCAACCTAACCTTTATGAAGATGTCTGTCTTCTGGTTTGTTGCGCCTTGCAGTCTGATCGCAGATTAACACAACGTAACTTGTACCAGACTACACGGCGCAACAAACCAGAAGACAGACATCTTGAAACGCACCGCCGCGGAAACCTCAAATCCTACATAACCTTTACGAATCAATATCGTAGTTCTGTTTATTGCACTTTTAATTTTAAATAAATTTCTTTTGTCTGCATTTTTTACACATGAATATTTTACAATTACTTGCGGTGATATCGGTCCTAGCCTCAGGCAAATGTTTTTATTGTTATTATTATTATTCGCCACCGGTTTTTCGTGTCAAATATTTTTTAAATGTATTGGTATATTTAATAAACAGTTGGTTACAATTCATGATATTTTTAAAACAGCAGTTTTTTTCTTTCAGATTTTTGCTGAGATAAATGTTTTCAGGAAGGCACGGCGAAGGCTTGACCGTTGCGAGCCGCTCGTAACGGTCGATCACGCGCCAAATTGTTTTGCCTTCGTCTATACAAAGGCTTTGAGTGCATGTGCCTTGACTCATTTGTGTCAGAGTTGGCCTGCTTCTTCAGATATTACTGCCTACTTCTGAAGTACCAAGAAGTAAGTGCAGCTGTGGCATGCAGGGAACAGGAGTATATTTTAATACTGGCACATGAAACTGATCGGCAGAACGCGTGGACGTCGAAACACCCGTGAAGTGTGAAGCGTGATTGTGCAACTTGTCTGCGTTTTGAGATTAACTTTTGTAGGCCTTTGCCCACTTGAACCATATAATTAGTCCTGGCTGAACTTGCAGATGGATTATCCAACGGGCGCTGAGAAGTCAAGGACTAGGATCCGTATCTGTGAACCTAGTCTGTTGATGAGAACGTTCACAGTCACTAAGATAGTTTTCTGAGTGTCCGACGTACCAATAATTGTATATTTTGTATCGTTTAACTCACTCAAGTTGCTGTTTCCATCTTTAGGGTTTAATATGTTTTTTTTAGATGTTGGTATCTATGAATACCTACAAGTCCGCACGACGTTACTAACCGAGCTACAAACACTAAGCCAGTTTTCACCCAGTACTGTCACATCAGATATATTGAGATCTGTTTTAATATTATATTACGTACATCCAGATTTATCAAGCGGTCTCTTTCCTTGAAGTTACGTGTCTTAAAATTTGTATGAGATTCTAATCTGTTGCGGTCCTCATTTTGTAACCCTGCACCGTAATTGACTTCCATATTCCTGGAATGTGCTCAGATTGCCTTGAAATTTTCTCCAGTAGCTAATATTATCTCAGCTGGTCAAGAAAGTTTTCGCCTTTTATGAAACCATTTTTTTTTCGTTGCCGGGATTATGGTAAAGTTCTGACCCAGTTTGATTTCACACTTTTTGTCCATTTTAATATTATCATTTCTCCGTCTAAGTCTCCCAAGTTCTCTCTTCCAATGAGTTTTCTCGACTGAAATTTTAATGTGCTTGTCTTTTTTCATCTTCTCTCATCTCGTTGTCTTTGCTTTCATCGCCCTAATGATTATTTATATATTTGGTGAACAGTATAGTATATGAAGTTCCTCTTATAATTTTCATCTTCCGCCTGGTTCTTCATCTGAGGTGTAGATGGCCTCTGCAGTTAAAGAAGCAACGGAACTGAGGGATATGCTGGTCCACCAGAGATAAGTTGAGCTAACCGCTCCCATTTATCTGTGACGGAACACTCGACTGTTGTAGGAAGGCCGTCTGTCTCTTTGCCAGTGATAAGTAGTCTGTAGAGTTACGTCACGCGGAGGGTAGATAGGGGTCAGAGGGTTGGACAGTCACGAAGGAATAAAGAAAAATGTCGTCCGGAAGACTATCGACAAATATTTATTTAAAATTGCAGAACATTGGTTGTCGATCTGCGAAATTTCCAGGATCTAAAAGGGAGTCTTCAAGATGTTTAGTAGATTCAGTACGCATTCAGAAACGTTGTTCGGAATTTTAGAAATTTGAATTGTTGAAACTCAGTTTTGCCCCCCCCCCTCTCTTTTCCCTCCTGTAGTTGGGATTCTGGGAAATGCGGCAACATTCATGGCTGCAAATTCTCCAGAGGTACAAACGTCGATTATGATTTTTTTGTTTTTTATTCCAGTTTGAAATAATATATTAACAGGGAAATGTTTTAAGCGTATGGGCTTGCGTATGGGCTTGCGTATAGGCTATATTCCGCTGAAAGTACTAGAAGGCAATAACTGTA